AGAGTGTGTGTGCGTGTGTGTGTGTGTGTGTGTGAGAGAGAGAATGTGTGTGTGTGTGTGTGTGTGTGTACAGTTACTCCTCCATCAGTCGGCACAGCTGTGATACATGACAATCCAAAGATGAGCACAATGTTGTGGAATCTCTAAACTTGCCTGTTTTGTGCTTGTTTTGGCTGTAGCTTACAGATCAATGTTCTTTATGATTAGCAAAAGACCCTCATCTCATCAAGAACTGTTTTGGATTGCTTTATGCTTCCAAAGAGACTGAAAAAGTTATTAATGTTCATCCGTTTTTTGGAGCTAAAGTACAAGGTTTCCTTTAACATCAGACCATCATACATCTTTATTTATTATTTTTTGCATTTTTTTTTTATTTCACCCATTTTTTTGACATTGGAGTACAATACAAAGTCACCAGTTTACTTACATTTGTTTTGTAACTAGAAATAATGCAGAAACTGAAAGTCATCATTTAGATTATAAAATTAGATTTAGATATTTAGATTATAATTGTAATTTTTAAATTGTGTTTGACATTTTAAAAACCTAACTTTTATTTTAAAATGTATTTCCTGGTTTACATGAGAAGAAGAGGACATACGACTAATAACAAATATTCATCCTTTTTGTTTATTGCACAGCTTTTCTGACATTTAACTTTATTTTTAGATTCAGTATAAATGAAACATTCCCATATAACGCTAAAAACATTTAAAAAATGTATAATATTCAAAGTTTTTATTTATTTCCTGGTTTAAATGAATGGAAGAGGAAATATCAGAACTCTAATTAGGCTATTAATAAGAAATAAGTTTACTAAAGATCTTTAATATGACCACAAATATACTTTTATTTATCTTTATATTTCTTGGATTGCTTTTTACTGACATTTTACTTTATTTTTATATTCCTTAATAAAACATTCCGATTTATTGCTAAAAAAAAACTTTGATCTTTGAGATCTTAAACATTTTAAATCCTAAAATTGACCAGTTTAAATGAGAATAAGAGGAAATATTAGCCATCTTAATTTCTCTAATAAGGCTATTAAATTAGAAATAAGTTTACTAAAATAAATGTTAATAAGACCACACATCCTTGTATTTATTGTATTTTTTCCCCCTGACATTTTACTCGATTAGCTTGATGATTTTACTCAAGTACGTAATTCAGGAATTGTGGTTCAGTGATTCAGTAAACGAAACATTCATTTAATGCTAAAAAAAACTCTGCAGTATCAATGTTGAGCTTTGAGACTGTGATTTTAAAGGCGTGGAAAGAAGTCTAATCCTGTCTTTCTGTGAGGCTCAGACATGTTAAAACACGTTAAAAACATTTAACCTCTCATGTCCTGGGTCTAAGGTCCCTGTCAAAGCCAAATGGGATTTGTTTTTGTTTTTTAAAGGATTTGTCTGTAAAAGAAACTTAAACCCTTGTATGCAAATTACATCTCTAATAAAATGTTTGTGCATCCCCAAATCTAAATGTTTTTGAATTCACACTGTAATTCTTTGAAGGCCAGGCTTGTGATTCAATCATAAACATACTAGATTACAGAGAACAACTGTGGCTGGGATTGGAATATTAAAATCTCATCAAGCTCATTATTTGTGGTTAGTAATCTGGTCAGCTTTTTAAAATTCAATCATTCTGGAAAGAGACAAAATAATTTGATGTTTAACAAAAAAAATGTTAAAAAAAAAGAAAAAATTGTTTATTCATAAATATAGGTTACTATTAATGATTGCATTTATGTATTTTAAATGCATTATTCATTGATCTATTCATAATCTGATCTAGTTTAGAAAACGTTTTTTGCCTCCAGAGGGCACTTGTTAGCTTCTCAGAGCGGTTTTTGTCTTTTTTATCTTTTACATTTGATATTTTTAAGGATTGGAGGCTACCATATAAACAGAAACCCAGTCCAAACGATCTCAATAAAGCAAAGTTACAAAACTCATCGTTCTGTAACCACAGCGACTGTGATTCGTCCATCGTGATCAGCGTTGAGAAAAGTAACAGCTGTCACGTGACATCGGTCTGTTTACCTTGCGAGACGACGAGAAGTGCGTTTATTTATGATTATCTGTCATTCAAACGTCTCCTGGACTTCTCTTTTGGTCCTAACCCTCGTGATATTGTTAGCAATGTCTTCAGACGCCGGTGAAAAATATGTTTCTGTAGATTTCGAGGTGTTCGGGAATGTTCAGGGTGCGTATTTGACTTGGCGACATTTATTCACACCACGCCTCCAAAAATAGACGCATATTTATTTATATCACTGTACCAAAGAGTTCTACACCATTGTGCATTCATATTTATTATCAATATGTAAATTATGCTTTTGCACAGTTGCACCAAACTCAATCTCACAAGTGTTTTTTGTCTTTTTTTTCAGGTGTTTGCTTCAGAATGGTGAGAAGTCTGGATAATATACATTAAGATTATTTTACACAACATTTTGCTTCCATGACTAAGAAAGGAGAGCAGAATACTGTACTAACCCCAGCAAACACACCATGGTGTTCATATATATTAGACATGTTATCATGGCAGTGCATGGTTTATCTGCTGATTCCTAAATACAAGCATATTCTAGATAGATGCAAGTAGCTGAAATCAGTTCGATATCTGAGTATATTATAGTAGAGGTTTGCACTAGCAATGTCAAAGTGATGGGTTTGATTCCTAAAGAATGCAACTGATCAGATGTGTCCTTTGAATGCAGTGAAAGTTGCTTTTCTAAATGCATGAATGTAAATGTAATCTCAAACCCCTTGTTTCATCAGTGATAAGTCATGCATGCATATCTCTCTCGGAATCAAATTTTTCATCTGTTTTACTGCAGTATACAGAAGCAGAAGCGAAGAAACTCGGTGTGACGGGCTGGGTGAAGAACACTAGACAGGGCACTGTGGTGGGACAGGTGCAGGGACATCCTGAAAAAGTTAAAGAAATGTAAGCAGGCATCTGTCTTTTAATTGTTTTTGAGTGTGCAATCACTTTTTATAGGTATTTATAGGTAATCTAATATAGATCTTTATAAGAATATGCAGAAGTTTGCATACTACTCTATTATGTAGACTGTGTACAGTATTTGTTGCATGGAATAACTAAATGAAATACATGAATTATTGTTAATTAAAACAATTTTGTTAAAATTAAATAAATAAAATATAAATATTAGATGAAAAACTTAAACTAAATAAAAATGAGAAATGTTGCTTTGGCAACTAACTGAAACAAAATTAAGTTGGAGTACTAAAATTACTACCTGTAAATAACTTAAAGAAATGTGAGAAGTCGTCTGTTTTTTTTTTAAACGATTTTTGAGTGTGCAATGGCTTTTTAAAGATTTATAGGTTTTTATTTCAATACCAGCTGTGATTCACCAAACCCGTCACATGTGCAGTGTCTCTTCTAAGCAGCAGATGGCAGCAGCGCTTCAGTGTACGAAGCGTGGAACAGTCTAGAAAGGATGATCACGGTCACAGTGAGGGAGTGAACATGGAAACTCACGCTTCCCTTTGAGAGCATTGTGCTTTAACCTATAATCACCGGTGCAGTGAGAGATGGAGGCTCCAGTGCTGCAGATCGATCACTTCAGAGCTGTCCGAGTGTGGAAAGCTTCGGTTGTGTTGCTGGGAGTGTGTGTGTGTGTGTGTGTGTGTGTGTGTGTGTGTGTGTGTGTGTGTGTGTGTGTGTGAGTTGTGTGTGTGTGTGTGTGTGTGGGGCGGGTCGTGGAGTGATGATGTCAGTGGGGGCGGAGCACAGGGGCGAGGGCCAGATGACATCACAGTCTCAAATGTGAACCAGACATTAATTTGTGTGAGAGCTTATATACTGTATTTCTGCAGCATGAATAATGTGTGCCACATGCAGATTTTTTGTATGCGTAACATATCCAAATGTTTGCTTACTACTCTGTTATTTAGACTGTGCACAGTATTCCAGTATAATGTGGTAACACAGTATCGTTAACAAAAACTAAAACTATTAAAACGTTTTTAGTTAATTTGAAAGCTGAAATAAAATCTAAATATTAGAAGAAAAACAATTAAAACTGAAATAAGCTTATGTTGAAGCACTAAAATTACTAACTGGAATCAAATAAAAACTGAAACTGAAATACAGATAAATTATAAACAAAAAGTAATATTTGAAACTAATTATTTAATATGTATGTTTCATTTTTTTTACTACTATTCATTGATTAATATTATAAATATTCATTATTATTGATTAATATTAGCTCTAATCTTTATATTTTCAGTTTTCACTTTAATTTTAAATACAAATAAAAACTAGAACTGAACTAAAACTAAATTTAAAGTACTAACATTTATATTTTATTTTTACTAATATTAATTTATTAATATTTATAAATATTGATTATTAATTATTTTTGTTAATATTAGCTCTTTTCTTTATATTTTCTTTATAATTAAAGCTAAAATGAAAACAAGCTGACGCACTAAAAACTGCAAATAAACTAAAACTGAAATAAAAATAAATGTAAAACAAATAGTAAAATAAAAAACTAAATTTGTTTAAAAATAAAATGAAAGCTTCTATTAATATAATAATTATAAAACATTTAAATAAATGTGACAACTTGACAACTTTGGACAAGATCTTCCATCATCTATATATAGATTATCAGATGATTATAAGATTGATGTCTAAAAGTCATTTCTAAAACATTTTTTAAAACATCTAAAACACTTTTGTAATGTGCCATATTTCTAAGTAAAAATAGGATATACAATGAGAAAAATACTGGAAAGCACTTGATTTTATTTTGTTATATTGTATTTTTGAAGTAACAACAAAATCACCGATTGTGACAACTAGCCCCGGCGTCCTCTATCAGGTCAGTTCCCGGCCTTTTTTCGTGTGAAGGTTATTATCTGTGCCCGCTGTCCTGTAAGACAGTTTTAGCTGTGATTCTCTGGTGAAATCGTGCCCTATTTACTTACACGCTACACATGCGACTGCCTGGATACAGTGACGAAGAGCTTTTCCTCCTCTTCCTCATTCCAGCTGCTGAACACGAGATGCGAGTGAACAGAAATGTGTTTGCTCATTAAATATTTAAACAGATGGATGGCAGCCCTCCAGGCTCCGCCCCCTTTACTTGTTTTCCTCCCTTCCTAGTTGTCCTTTCCTTCATTCCTTTCCATTGACGTCTATCAGTCTGTTCACAGTGTAATTGTTTCGTTTGGCTCTCTGCAGTTGTTTGTTAGTCGTCGGGTTGGTTTGGTGAACTCTCAAGGGTTGCATGTGATGTTGATGAGACTGTAGATCCCAGAGGATCGTCCCCAGACGGCCTCCACCCTCCCGAACGCTCCACCCGTGCTTGAATTATGGCTGGATGAGTCTACAAATACTGCCAGAGAGCATTTCAGCACCATCCAGATCATCGTACAGAATCGCTTTATGAGCTGTTGACATGACATTTGACAGCAGTCTCATCTGATGTGGCATAATGCATTTCTTTGAGAGCATTTTGTAACAGAATTTTTATAATTATTGTGGGTTGCTTGCATCACTACTGTTGCTCATATTTTGGGTTCATTTGATTTTTTTGTGCATTTGAAGAAAACCCAAAATAATATTATATTATATTATATTATATTATATTATATTATATTATATTATATTATATTATATTAAAATATTTTA